TTTTTTTGCTTCATATTTATAGACGTCATGTTGTTCTTTCATTGGTAATAGTAATTGTTTTAAGGGAGAATAATAAGAAAACACTTTTGAAACAACATGTATTGTCATTTGTATATAGTTTTTGTAAATAGATCAGAATGCAATTGCTTGTGTTTCATATGTATGACTGGATGTGAAATGTTTTTATCTGTTCAACAGGGACACCCACCTCCCGCTGCCAATCCTGTTCATTAAACTACTTATGTGAGGCGTGCCTAGAAATTGTACAGAGGAAAATTTGTGACTAATTTTAAATGTTTTGCACATGCAGCATGTAATAATGTGGTACTGTATATGAAATTCAACTTTACACCTATGGCAGAACCAGAACCATGTACCATATCATATTGCAAGTATGAATAAACGTAACATCTTTTAGGGGGAAAAAGTAACTAGAGACTTGAGCTCAAACAGTTGAATGTTCATTCAATCATCAACCGGGATGTCCTCGTCTGAAGTATTGTCCAGAAATGAGCCAAGAGTCTTTCTCAGAACGCTGAAAGTTCTGTCATCCTGAGTTTATAAACAGAAAATGGGTTTCACTACTACAAAAAACACTTTGCGCGACAAAATAATTTTGTTGCGCAAAGTACAATATCGTCGCGCAAAGTTTGTGCGACGAAATTTTGGTCGCGCAAGTTCTGTCGCGCAAAGATCGTAAAGAAAGGTTTTGCAGGACGAAATTTTTTTTTTGTCTCGCAAAGATACTTTGCACGACGAACGATAACAACTTTGCGCGACGAATACTAACGTCGCTCAAAGATACTTTGCGCGACGAATACTATCAACTTTGCACGACGAATATTAATTACTTTGCGCGACGAACACTTTGCGCAACGAATAATATTATTTTGCGCGACGAAAGTTAATGTCACGCAAATCTTTGCGCGACGAATCCTAATGTCGCGCAAATCTTTGTGCGACGAAATATTCAATTTTTTTTTAATTTTGTTTTTTTTTAAATTTTTGTTTTTTTTAAATTTTTAATTAAAATAAACTAGTTTAATAGTTTGCTCGACGAAATATTTTGTCACCCAAGGTTTTTGACATTTTGTTTTATTATTTCTCTTATATCAATTTCATTATATTAATTTTCCAAATTTTTACTTTTAAAATTTAATTTAATTGTATGATTTTATTTTTTTTAATTACTTTAATTTAAATTGAAATATTCAAAATAAAATTACATATGAAAAATAGTGGTCAAATTATCCAATATATATAATATTCAAAATGTACACATAAATTAACAAAGTACAATAATAAAATCTACAAGCCTATTGTGGTGATAGTGGCGGAGGATATGTTTCGATAGCGTCCAAATCCTCAACTTTAGCCGTCAAAGTCTCGACGATTCCCTAC